TCGGCGCCTGTCATCTCTGGCCTGTTTTGGGGATATATTAGGGAAAGAGTATGGGTGATCTTGGTGGCCAAATATCAGTAATGAACCCGTTGTCGTCAGGATTACTTCCTACGAGGCAGGAAGCGTCAGTCACAAATAACGCAACGCGAAATGATTTTATACAGGATACTGAAAAGCCTCACCAAATTTGGGAACCAAATCCGGTGACCAGAGTGGGCATTGCAGCTTGACAAAAAAGGGACTCGGTTGTCGAGAAGAACGATTCAATTCTGAAAGTTATAGCAAACGAGAAATCATATCCTTCGCGATCCAAAGGCGAAAGTTAATACGAGAACAGAAAACTGACAAACAAACAGACAATAATCCGCCCTTGGTCTACCCTGACATGCGCCAATACCAGATCAAACTGGGTATCATATCAAAGCCAGCCAATTTTCCCATTTGGACGAAAACAAGAAAAAAGCTACAAGAAAATCACCCGCCGCGAAAAATGAAAGAAGAAAACCAACGACAGCAGAAACTCAAGGATACATATACATATACACATATATATATAGAGAGAGAGACCCTCTTAGTAATCAACCACGAATCTTCTCCAGCTCCTGCTGGCAACTCAAACAATAATCCTCATACCAATACTGGATATCTTCGATATCCGTCGCTGCGAACCGCTGCTTCAAATCCGAAACTGTTTCATCGCTGCCGTCACGGTCATTTAATCGCTCCCGATCTTTCAGTAGAGTCTCGATCGCGTGGCACTTCTGCGTCTCCTGTTGGAGCCAGCGTTCCCATTCCGCCTGGACTACTTCTTTTTCTATCCGGTTGACCACCCTTAAGGCAACAAGGAGGTTGTGTCGGTAGATCCCTAGCCTCTCTCTCGTCCGTTGCAACTGCAGTTTTGTCCTGGAATCCTTGGTGTTGGTTTCAGAGGGTGTGATTATTCGTGGCATATCTGAAAATCCTAAAGCGTTGCTCTCGCGGAAAGTTGAGAAGCTAGACCAATCCAAGGTTATTGAAAGTCAGCTTGCTGCACATCTGTAAACCGATAAATGACAAAATATAACGGACTGACCAAGAACCTGGATTGCTTATGTCAATACCTGTGGTATTAGCAATCGCATCATCCATGTCTTTAATATATACCGCCTTGCTCATAACACGATTAGGTCCAACACCAAGCCGGCTCATGAAGTTGCCAGCATTACGCTCATGCCACCATTCAACGGTATCATGGTACGAATGGAAAGCATTAATAAGCACGCTGAACGCGAGCAACAGGAGTATGATGCTGTGAGCTCTGCAGGTTTTCCACAGCCATCGAAGCAACCCCCAAAACCAAATCATCAATGAGGATACTGCACTCTGTAACAAAGACCCGGAAGTTTCAAGTAGAAGTGGGATGATACCACTTTGCTTGAGGGGACGGCGAAGATAGGGTTTTAAGTTTTGCGAATCCTCAGTAAATTCAGTCCCTCGAGTTTGGCGGCCAATGTGGCCGAATAGTGCTATAGCCATTTTCGTTTGGTTATGGGAGCCAAGCCGTTTAACCTCTTCGGAAACAAGATCCACAAGGTCAAGCGCATCCTGTTCAAGATCGTTCAGGGCTTGCCTATCGATTATGCCTGGTAATCCGTCACATTAGCTATTTGATAGGAGCCGGCATATTAATTCCGGACACGGGTTAGATGAAACAACAACTTACTTCGAATGATATATGGTTCCCATAGCCATTCCACCTTGGTGAATATGGCAAGCTTGCATCTTGATTTTGAGACATAGGTAATAACAATTTTGCTAACAAGCCTGAAATAGCGTTTAAAAGGCAGATGCCACGGCGTCCGTTTATCAGTAACTACGTAGCACAAGTGGTCGTTTAGAACATCAACGATTTGATAGTCAGATACATCAGTGAGGCGTAGTCGTCCTAAGTTTTTATTAGTTTGGGTTCAGAAAAATCTATGGATACGAGGCTGAGGTTTCGCTTACCGAATGTGTCTGCCATCTTTATTTGGTATTTGATATCGCGTCTCAAATGTGCAGAATGAAGACTCGACCACGGACCTTGTCTAATGTCTTTTTTACGTGTTATCCTGTTAGTTTAAATTACGACTAGTACTCAGACGGAAATATTTAAAACTTACTTTGGGCACTCCGCTGATGTTGAAGCAGCTGGCAAACAGCACTTTTATCCCCAAATAGAACATGGAACAAGGCTTTCGAACTGATATCATAGAACTTCTCGGCAGCCAGGAGAGGGGCACCCTGCGGCACATAGTGGACGGGCTGAGATGGCAACTTTATTCGAAGTGAGTCGTGATCATGCTTGCGTTTATTCATATTCAAGTCGTGGTCAGGGCGTAATTCTGGCTTAAAGGGTTTATCAGAACGTTTCCCGTCAACGTTACGCGACGCCCCATCGACTGGGGTGTTCAGGGAGACATCTTCCCAACTCTCCATACTCGGTGTCCGTGTAATATCCTCCATTTTTATCAAAGATTTAAATATTTTCTCCAGATTGGGTGGTTCCTTCGCCTGCGACATGTTGACTATATAATTCAGCCTCTTATGGATCAATTTCATAGAGTCCAAAAAAGTTTTTATTGTAAGCCGACGTGGGATATCGCTTCCCTCTTCAACATCTAGGTGAAGGAACAAGAAGTCGCAATCTCTACCGGGAGCAGCTGTGACATCAGTAATCATAACGAGGTCGACACAACTTGTAAACACGAGACTGAAATGATTGCTGTAAAAATAGATGCGTCTTGTCGTGACGTATGCTCTTCCCGGAAAGTCGTGGTGGTCATTCAAACTTAAACAGGCTCGGAATACAAAAACAAGAGTTTCATCTTTTGCAATATTGGGGAAAAGAAGTCGAAACTGTGCGTCGTGTGGTTTTAGCTGTGCAGGATAATAGCTGGGATACTCGGATGCAACTGTGGCACCGTCCTTCAGAGTTGATGGATTGCCACCATCAAGACTAATAGTTTGTCTGTGGCGAGCTGCGAGAGGATCATCTTCGGGCGGGCTGCCATTCCTTGGAGCTTCTATGCAGATCCCTTGGGCTGTACGCATCATAAGTTAGCTAG